TAGGATTATTATGGTTTTGTCTTTGACCTAATTTTCATTTTATAAAAATTTGGCTTTGCTTCATCATTTTTATACTAAGTTGATCCGTGTATGTGTTAAGATTCTACTATATGCTAGAGAACTTGATTATGGAACTTTACGTTGTTGCATTTTTAAAGTTATTTTCCATGTTAACAGAAATAGGTAAATCTATTATTGCAATAACTGATCACGCATTTATATTTAGGAAAATTTCAAATAAGGGCTTTGAGTACCTTCATTTTTTCAAATAAGAGTATGCAGTGAACATTGTTTAATATAAGGACATGAATTGGCCAAATCATCTCAAATAAGGGTTTGAAATGACCAAATCGTCTCAAATAATGACTTTTGGTCGGCCGGCCAATATGTGACTATTTTGACAATGGGTATTTTAGTCAAAAAAATTCTAAGTATATTTTTTTACTTTTCCTTTTCCTTTTCTTTTCTTTTTTTTTTTTCTCTTCCCTCCCTAGGCCATCGCCGCGCCTCGTCGATGGCCGGCGGAGGCAAGGGCCGCCCTTGCTGGCATCGGGCAAGGAACGCCCTTGCCTGTGAGGGCAAGGGGCCCTCGTCTGGGCTGGCGATGGCGTTCCTCGCTAGATCCGACGAGGCCAACCCTTGCCAGCGTCGGGCGAGGGTCATCTTGCTTGGGTTAGGTGGGTGAGGGCGACCCTTGCCAGATCTGGCGAGGGCAACCCTTGCTCGACATCAGCGAGGGTGGCCTTCGCTTGAGTTCAGCGACCTCTGTCAACCATTGACAAGGCCCGGTGATGGCTAGCGGGGGAAGAGGAAAAAAGAAAAAAGAAAAAATAAAACAAAAAGGAAATGGAAAGGAAAAGAAAAAAAAAAGAAAAAGGAAAAAGAATAAAAAAGTAAAGGACGAAAATGCCCTTCAGCCGGTGAGGTCAGGCTCTTCTTTAAGACTGACATGGCCACTTAAAGTTCTTATTTAAAACAAAGTCTACTTTAAGCCCTTATTTGAGAAAACGATGGCCCTTCAGGCCCTTATTTGAAAAAATGATGACACTTCATGCTCTTATTTATAATTTTCCCTTTATATTTTGATTGTTCTACTTAATTGAAAGAACATACATTTCTCTTCCTCTATTCGTTCAACTTAAACTTGTAATTGGACTTTAAAGTTTGTAATTCATCACGACCTGAAGTTTTGGGGGTAACTTTGAATTTTTATCGAGTCTTGAATCCATCTTGCCTCCTGAACCACCAAAAAAGAATAAAATTAAAACAGAGAAATGTAGTGACCCTTTTTGATAAATGATTAGATAGGAAATATCTATTTCTTAACTGGCAAGGTGCATGCGTGCTGCACGGATCTAAGTATGTATTTGTTATATTATTTTAAATGTCGGAGTCGTGTTGAATTTTCACAAGAGAAATACAATTATATGCAGAAATTATAATAAAATAAAGATTCACATCAACGAAATTCCCCGATTGAGTCTAAATGGATTTTACTTAAAGCGGATCAAAACCCCCAAAACACAAAATATTTACTTAGTTTAGTTATTTTGAATGAAAAGTTGTCTAGCATGGTGAAAAAGTGGGTTGCAGGTAAAAAAGAAAAAAGTGAGGCAAAAAAATTTAATCAAACAAATTCAATATACTTTTTAACTTGTAAATGATTTTCCTTGTTTGGCTAGTCATAAGATGATCATGATATGATTTTTGAGTTAACTTGGATTGCTATTGGCTCGAGTTGAACTTATCGATGATTTAAGTTGTGTAAATAGAGTGTTACTATTACAAAAAAACCATAGCCTTGAGTAACATAAAAAATGATAGCAGAAAAGTTAAAAGTAAATAATCTCCTATTAGTTATAAGTTGGGTAAGACATTACAATTAAGCAAATTTGAGGAGTGAATAGAAACTCTACTAAATCTTTTTTCTTGATTAAGTTTGTCATCTTTTTTTTTTTTAATTTGGTCTTATTTAGAGTTATTTAGAATTAGACAAATTGAAACGATTTTCTTGTTAATTGTCCATGTGTAGATGACTTATTTTTTACTGAATTGAGTAAGTAGTTTGTTTTCCGCTAGGTGAAAATCATGTTGGTTATCATTTTAGTTGTAACAATAGGAAAAAAAAATTTAAAGTGTGACATGAAACCGATAAAGCAAAAAAAGAATAATAAGAATAAGCACAACAGAACCACGGATGGCAAAGAATGAATAAGCGAAGAGAATAATAAGCAAAGATTCTCTCTCTTATCTTTCTCTTTGCTTATCTTGGTATTAGGCTTGCCTTACTGATGGCAGAGATAGAATCAATAAGCAAAGAGAAACCGGTTTCTCTCGCAATATGTGCGGTGGGGAATGCACCGTCAAGTGCCTCTCAATAACAGCTCCATTAGCTTCTCATTCTCCTTATGAGATTCGTTCATAAGATCAAAGTTTCTTAAATGGGAACAATACCCTAAGCGGTGGTGCACTAACTCGGTAGTCCCGCCTTGGTTGAATGCTGCTTTATATCCCAAACTTGATCATTATCTAAAAGCCTTCCAAAATTCTAACAATATTTAAGATAGTCAGATTGAACTTAGTTGACGGTTACATCATAAGCTTTTTCCCTCCAAAAAGTTTTGACCTCACCTTCCCACCCGGTTACTTAGTAGATGGTTTGTCAACATGCAAGGAAATGAGTTTGTTACCTTTTCTCAATTGAATCTGTTCAACTTTGTGGCAGCGATGGGCAGCTAAGCAAGTCGGTTGTTGAAGAGGTTCTGCATAGGCTTTGGATAAAACGAAGAATAGTGACCAAAGATTTAGTTGGAATGAAGGATCGAATAGCAGTCATAAACAATTTATTAGGCATCGACTCCGGTGGTGAGCACCAGGTGTTCCTCAGTTTTAGTGATCCCGACACTCTTCATGGATTCACCGACACCCTCTACCATGCCTTGGATGATGCCGGGATTCATGTTTTTACCAAATATGAAGAGTTTGGAAAGGGCGAAACAATTAGAGACGGCCTTCTACGAGCGATCGATGACTCAAAAATTTACATACCCATTTTCTCCAAGAACTACGCTGCGAGTGTCTGGTGCCTCAAAGAGCTTGAGAGGATGGTGGAGAACACCTTTAAATCTAAAGAAGATGGGGATAAGAAGGTGATACTACCCATTTTTTATGACGTGGAACCTAATGATGTGAAACTGAACACGAAGTTGTATCATGATGCCATACTGAATTTGGAGGAACCGCACAGCTCCGATGATGTAGAGGCGTGGCAGCAGGCTCTCATGAAAGTTGCTGATTTTACAGGGTGGGCCTTGAAGAATTATACAGGGTAACCATCTAACTATGAATGTGATAATTATTTTTTTGCAATCGAAAGGTAGATCTAATAATAATTCATTAACTATATTCCAACTCCAATTTCCTGAAACTGAAATAGAAAGTCTCAAATTCTTCTTTTACTTTTTTAGATAGCGAGATATCCAAATTTTTTTGACCTAATAGGGTTATTATAATTTCGTTTTTGACCTAATTTCTGCTGTATAAAAATTTGGCATTGCTTCATCTTTTTTATAATAACTTAATCCATGTATGTAGTAAGATTCCTACCGTATGCTAGAGAACTTAGATTACGGAACTGTATGATTTTTTTTTCCCTATCGAAAGAAATAAGTATATCTAATATTGCAGTAACTCATCCCACTTTTATATTTTGATTCTTCTATCTCTTTTTGCCAGAACTTTTGCTCTTCTGCTTGATTTAAATATCAAACATTTCTGTTCCTCTATTCCTTCAACTTAAACTTGTAACGGATGTTCACATTTGTAATTCATCATGTTCTTGAAGTTTTGGGGGTAATGTTGAAATTTTATCGAATCTTTAATCCCTCTTGGTCCAGTCCCGTTTGTTTCGTGCCCTTTTTCATTGGATAAATTCTCGTTGCCTGCTTACCACCCCCCATAAAAAAAAAAGACAATTGCCTCATAATAATAGAACAAATGCCCATACATATAGACTTGTGATAACCCATATAACTATTAGGTAGAATGATCATGAAAAGTAAACTACTGAGTAAAGCTCCCACGTGAGCGTGTTTGCCACGTGATTCAACCTCGTACACGCTTTTATGTATATAAAGACACTTGATGGAAATTATTTTTTCTTGTTTTAAGTGAAATAATAATATAGTGATAAATTTTTTGTGTCTTTGAACTCTATGAACATTCAAATGAATGAAATCACAAAAGTTAAATAGTATTTTTATTTCGGTGAAAAACAAACACTTCTTCTTACACTATTTCTATACTAGTATCTTACGTGGTGTTCTTTCTTACATGCAATAATAACGTATCAACATTAGATTCCTGGCTCCATGACTTAAATGATTAGAATCTACCTTTTGATTTGTTTATGGAAATTGATCCACAAAAGAGATACGACAAAGTCTTTTTAGATATGTGAATAAGAACCATATTTATATGCTCCTTTTCTGTTCCTTTTTTATTCTTTAGCGCAAGTATTGTCGATTTCATAACATAAGAATAGTATATTCTGATTATGTTATTCGTTCATAAGATCAAAGTTTCCTACATGGGAACAATTCTCTAAGCGGTGGTGGATTAACGTTGAAGTCCCGCCTTGGTTGAATACTCCAATATATCCCAAACTTGATCATCATCTGAAATCCTTCCACCATGCTAACAATATTTAAGATAATCAGATTGAAATTAGTGGACGGTTACATATCGAGTTTTTTCCCTCCAAAAATGTTTTGACCTTGCATTCCCACCCGGTTACTCAGTAAATGCTTGGTCAACATGCAACGAAATGAATTTGTTGCCTTTTCTCAATCGAAACCGTTCAACTTTGTGGCAGCGATGGGAACCTCAGCAAGTTTTTTGTTAACAAGATTGTGGATTGGCTCCGAAAAGAACGAAGTAAGATTGTGGATAGGCTCCAGAAAGAACAAAGTAAAGATGTGCGGCTTGTTGGAATTTACGGGATGACCGGCATTGGTAAATCGACACTTGCCAAGATTATCTTCAACCAACAATATCCTCGCTTTGGGAAATACTGCAGCTTTCTTGATGACATAAGCAAAATGGCAAAAACCAAGGGCTTAGTCAAGCTGCAAAAACAATTATTGTCCAATATGTCTGATTCTAGAGTGGCTTGGAATATTGAAAATATTGATTATGGGATCGATATGATTGGAGAAACAATTTGCAACAAGCAAGTACTAATTGTTTTGGATGATGTCGATGATGTCAACCAAATCCAAGAACTAATCGGAATGAAGTCTTTGTGTCCCGGCACTAGGATACTTGTTACCACTAGGGACAAAAGGGTTTTGAAAATTAGGGGATTTAAGTATGAAATCGTGCCTTATGAAATGGAGGGGTTGAGTTACAAAGACGCACTTCAACTTTTTAGTAGGCATGCCTTTGATAGCTACCCTCCTCCAGACAATTACGACGCTCTTTCAAAAGGCATTGTCTCTACTGCGGGTGGACTACCTTTAGCTCTTGAAGCAATAGGTTCGTCGCTTTTTCTTCAGAAAGAGCAAAAGATATGGGAAGAGAAGCTAGAGCAGCTAAGGAAAACACCAAATAGGGATGTCTTGGGAAAGCTAAGGATTAGCTATGATGCCTTAGAAACGGATCAACAACAGATATTTATCGATATTGCATGCTCTTTGATCGGTAAGAAGAAGGCTGATGCAATCAAACGGTGGAGAGATCATGGGCTTAGCCCAGAGGATGCTATTGATGTCCTTATTAGCAGGTGCATGATAAAGGTTACAAATGATCATAGGTTTTCGATGCATGTCCAGTTTAAAGATTTTGGAAAGGCAATTGCTCATCAAGAGCGCGAATCAAAATCAACAAAGGTAAAGTATGACCAAATTTGAATAGAAAATTGCTTACCCTGTTATTCATTGAGGATTCACGTTTCTGAATTGGGAGGTACTCCTGATTAATCTTTTCTTCTCTTTGATGAAATAAAATTGTGAGATATCGACAAATTTCTTTTCCTGCTCCTCAATGTCATTGGCAGTTCAAGGGAAGTGTTCAAGCACTCCGTTCGCAATCGGACTTATCGACTCAACCTCCTATAACTGTCACTACGGAGTCTTCCGGAGAGAAGATCTTAAATCAACCAATACAAGGGTCGGACTCTAAAACAGAAGCAGGGGATCCTCTATTGAAAACGGTGCACATTCTTTTTATTCATAGATCATCACTGTTTCTTCTGCCTTATTTGCTTTCTATTTCTGCTTTATTCTTAGTGGGAATGTCCATATGCTATGCGTGTCAACTTGGGAAGCGAGGCTAGGGATCTTAAATCACTCACTATCAGTAACGAAAAGGGCCGTTCTTATAAAAATTTAGGTCAAAGGACCTCAGCCCATCTTCTTATTTCCATCTGCAGAACCAGCAAAATAAAGAGGAGAAGAGAGAAACAGAGTCGGCAAAAGAACAAGGAGAGATAAACCAAGGGGAGAGTCTCTAGCATGCTTCAGAGGTCTCGACAAGTCAAATTAACTCCGCTTCGAAACGCTCGGTAAGAATTCGAAACTTTAATTAATCCAATTGGATAAGTTTTCTAGGTTTAAGCTATAATTTTAGTGCAGTTCAAATTTTAGGCTATTAGGTTGATTCCAGAGGTTGTTGATCTGTGATTGAATTGTACATTTCATCTCAACTCTTTTGCCCTTGAATTCCAGACAATCTCTTGTTTGGTACTTTACCAAGTTGCGTGGAAACATTGACGGTATCATAACTTGATTTTGAATGGCAGTTACCTCCAACACAAAACCCTTCATGTGCTTTTCTACCTCGGATCATTAAACTTCGAGCTAATCCCTATGACAGATTAGCTTCTCGCTATTTGTTCTGTGACTCTTTTGAAAACAAAAAAGACCTGACCTTTTCCGAAGAGGCTGTTGCTCGCATCGTCAACAGCGAATTAGAGAAATTTTCTCAAGAATCCAGAAATAAAGGCAATGACATCTTAGCCAAGTCCTCATTAGGTATCCTCTCCTCAACTCTCTTCAGATCCATGATGAGTTTATTAAACTCATCTAGGTGGGCTCTAATGGACGTCCACTCAGTCATCCCGGAACTGGTAGTGTCCATCTCTTGAGAAACAAACGGTTGTTCATCCCCTTCATCAAGTACAGGCTCTCAACCTCTGCCGTGGAACCTCTCTTCCATTAAATGAATATTACACTGATTCAACACACATATCTCCATCGCATCTGCTCATTCAATGACCAAAACAACACCTTATCCAACAAATTTGAAAAGGGAATACCATGTGCCTTCTCCATCAACAAAATGTGTCGACCTCCTTCATTAGTCTTCATTGACTTATCCTTGTCCTCTAATCCTTGTGTCACGAAGAGTGCACCATATTGGTACGCTACATACTAAAGCAATTACTCCCATTAAGCTTCTCTATCTCAAGAAAATTAAATGCTGAAACTTTAAGTACTATATTTTAAGCGTTGACTATTTTAAGTGCTGAAAATGAAAATAAAATGTTTGATAATAGCTGAATATTGAGTGTTGAATTATACTTCTTTCTTGCCAAATATGGAATCGTGAATATTGCTGGTAGGCTTTTACCAATGTAATAGGCAAGATTTTATTTCCTGTTTGGATGTCTTTCCTATTGAATGAATTCAGTAACCCCTTAGACCAAAAAAAAAAGAATTCAGTAACCCCATCCTTACTTTGCGAATTAAGTAATTTTTTTTACTTAATCGAATCTTTTAAGTCCAAACTAGTTACTATTTTAAAATATACTCAATAATATTAATTGCTGAAAATATTAATTTTCAGGATCCACTGGAGTTATAAAACAGGTTATTTAGAACTTGTTGGATAAAATTAAAAAAAAATTGAAAATTAAATTTTAGATGCTGATAATAGAAATAAAAATTTGTTTGATAGCAATTGCAAATTAATAACTGAATATTATTAAATTTTTATCATACATGAAATTGCGATCATTAAGGGCAAGTTTTAGTAACATAATTGTCAATATTCTAATTGCCATCAACTACTTTTTTCACTGATTGACTTAAGTTCTCCTTCCTTACTTATCCTATTAGATAAGTTTTTGAATATTTTAAGTCAATGTTTGTTATAGTTATGAAACAAGCTTAATCTCATTAAGTGCTGAATCTTTTAGTTTTCAGAACTTAATTGAGCTATCAAAGGCCCTAGTGTTCACCACTGCACCTCATTTTGTTTTAATCGATCAGACAAGCATGAAGAGAAAACTGAAATGTGAACCTATTCACAGCTTTTATACCAATTTTTGCACTATAGGATCGTGCAAAAATTGGTATAAAAGCTGTGCAATCTACCAAAATCAGGAGATAACTTAGAATTAAATGAGAAAAAGGAACAATGCGTTGGGATTTATGTAGTTTGATCCGAAGGTTGACCTACATCCAATGAGTGAATATGTCAATATATCCATGGAGATTATAACCTCAATCTAGCCTTTTCCATCCCAATCTTCTATTGCACAATTCGCAGCTAGTGTTATGTTGAATCTCTCATAGTTTTTTCTCAAACTAAAACAATGGAGAGCCTAAAGCAATCTCGATAGGATATAATGTGTACTAAAATCAGTAAGGGATTGAAAATGGGGTGAAAAAAAGGAGTCTCTGTGCGTGTCCTCGACGCCACTAGGGCGCTTTGTTCGGTCTGGTTGGGTGCCTGCATGGTGGCTATCGACAGTTGGCCCATCAGGCTCAGGCGCCTAATCAATGTTCAATGACCATAGGCCTTTTCGAGCCTGTGGTCTGCAGCCCGAGCATTTGCGCACGGGCGCCCTGGAATGACCATCCGGAACTTGTCCAAAACTAGGCTTCATCTGGGCTTCCGTTCTCGCTCAATTCATTTCCAAAACTCTTGAGACATTTCTGTGTCCATGTTGTTATCCATCCATTTGAATGCACACAATGCACATTGTTGTCATGCTTGATCAATGGAAATGAGAATGTGGATTTTCGAGCCTTAAGTTTTAGTCTCACAAAGATTGTATGAGACGAAGGTGAATAATTCGCTCCTATGGTTGTTCCACGTAATGGGGAACCAATGCCACTGTCTTTGAAATAAACAAAAGAAATGTTAAAAGGAGATCTATCCGGTGCTATGCATCTCATCTTCTACAATATACAATGGCGAGATGCCGTGTTCGGCAGAACACACAGATTGGCTTACACCCCGAAGATATCGACGATGCACTTAGGCGTTGACCTCCTCCGTGGACAGGTGTTAATACACCAGATCAATGTTTCAGACAAACGACTTCACCTGTGACCATGAGCGCTTCTGAATTGATGGGCATAATGCAAGAACTGCTTAGAAGAAAGAGAGATTCAAACTCTGTAAAGATTATAGTTCTGTTTCTCATTTCGAATCTTCCAATGTGATTTCATATGAACTGAGGATTTATTAAGTTTAATGATGATCCTATTTTTGCAGGTTTTAAAACCTTTGGCTCAACGAGTTACCATTACTGACCAGATGTTTTGGAAAGATTCAAGGCGTGTTTTGCAAGCATATTAGAATCATAGGCAAGCCTTGAGTTTTGAAAGAAGAAACTGAAAAGCACAAGGATTTCGAATAATACTGTGGAGCTAGGGAGATGCCCATGTTTTTCTGGTCTAAGACTATATTTTTTATATTGTTCTAAATGTTGGTTCTTCATCTATTTTGCAATTTATTGGTACTTCAAGTTAATTATTGGATACACTGAATGTTGATCTGTATTGCCTTGATCGTTTCATAAAATTCATTCAAATTGTCCGATTTTTCCTTCAATGAGTCCAACCACATAACCATCCATATGATATTTCTTGGCAAAGTAACGCTTGTGATAAACAGACCCAAAAAAAAAAAAACGCTTGTGATGAAAATTAATAACACGAAGTCTTAGTTAGCCAAACCAAATGTAGCTAGGTTGATTAGATGCCAATCTAATATTTATCTATCTTATCTTTATTAGCGATGGCGCAGCAAAACCTAGGCTCCTTTTTCTTCTAAAACCCTGGTTAATTTTTTTTTTGTTGATATACTAATATTCATTTTTATCATTTTATAATATATATTGAATTGTGAAACATGCACGACTAATTTTTTCTGACAGTTGTTAAGTGTTTTTTGTTGATACTTTAGTGTCATGTGTCTATGAAGTATAATTTGTTGTAAGAATTTCTTCAAGACATATTGAGATCAATACGATAGCAAGACACCATCAAAATTTCATTCATAAACTTACTATAATCCTTAATTCAAAATTTATTCTCACTAATTATAAAGTGATATCTTCATAAACTATAAAAAGTGATAGATGTTACACATCGTTGATAATTCAATTACTCATATCCGAAGAGTTTAAGTAATGGGCCCTTAATTTTATTTTATGTGCTCAGTAGATTATTAAAGTAGTTGGTAATTTTGAAAGTATAAAGAAATGTTAGTACTTTTCAAAACCAAGATAGATAAAAAAAAAAGTAAGACATTAATATTAGTCATTATCTTAATGTGATCAATGTTGGTACTTCAATCAAATTGAGATTAGTAATTTCCAATAAAAGTTAGTAATTTGAAAGGCGTTGGTAAGACACAAGAATAAATGTTGGTAAATCACTAAAGTAGTTGGTAATCTCGGAAGCATAAAGAAATTTGGTACTTTTCAAACCCAAACAAGATAAAATGTTGGTAAGGACTAAAATTAGTAGGTTTTCTTATGTGACGGACATCGGTAGTTCAATCGAATTAAAGTTTGTGATTTTCAATAAAGATTAGTAACTTCAAAGTCGTTGGGAAGACACAAGAATAATTGTTAGTAGATCAATATAGTAGTTAGTAATTTTGGAAGTATAAG